TGATCCTGCAATGTTTAATCTATAGAAAGGAAAGGGGAATCAGTGAATTCAAACTTCTCACTACCCAAATCCCTTTTTCTTCTTGCTGTAGCCTCTCAAGACTTTTCCCCCTTTCCTGGTAGATCATTCTCTGCCATTATTTACCCCACTTTGCACAGAATCCATGCTGAGCCATCTTCTTTCTTATGCACATGCCCTAGAAGACTCAATTCTTTTACTGTCTCCACCATATTGTAGTAAAGAATTTTTTCTCAGATTCTTGATTTCTGACTGCCACTTTCCTGAGCTAGTATAATTCCTAACTGCGTTCTAAATATTTATCATCATCCTCACATATAAGTGTAGGTTCCACTGGTCATCAAAGATGCTTTATTTTTTTTTTTTTTGCAGTGCAAGATTATTATGGAGATCCAGACCTGGTCAAAATATCGAGAACAACTGATTGCATGGTGCCCAGCCCCATTTGATACATTCACAACATAGCTCCTACAATGGAAAGCTCAAGGAACATCATGGGAGAAGTGGTGAAAAGATTATAAAAGCCAGAGGACATGTGCTGTGTGAATATGTCTTCTAGATATGACAGGGACGCTGCACCTAGGAAATCTAAAACATGGCTGCCTAAACTAGACTCACACAGTTCCGACATAGTTGATATCCCCATGTCTGTAGGGGAAATCTCATGGGGCTCCATCCCTAGATGAATAGTACAAGTAACTAGTGACTGCTGTGAGAGGGAGAATTGGTATTCCTGAAGCATGGGACCCCTACTCTGCTATCAATTTCCAAATGATCAGCTCGGAAATCACATACATACAAGCAACAAGAAACACACTCAGCAGATTGTATTTATATATTTATTAATACTCACACAGAGATGCACATCACAACAATTAGATAACTAACTAGAGGAGAAGAATCCATTCATTTTAAAGGGTGTGAGGGAGGAGTTAGAGAGAGGAGAAAGAGGAAATGATGCAATTATATTTTAATCAAATAAAAAATAACAAATTATTTGGTAAATACAATATGTAACTAGTTACCAGTGAGTATTCTAGTGTGTTATTTCGTTTCAGCTTTCTAAATGTATTAGTTTTAGAAGATCCTGGTGTTACAGGCCACACCCAAAGGCCGGACTCTATTCATAAAAGGAAATGAAGTTACTAAGTCTATTCCTTCTGAAATTTTCTGTAGCAAAATATAGTGTTTTTTGAGGTAGTGAGGAAGATAATTGAAGTTTTTCAGGGAAGCTCTCAATAGTGGAGAGAAGAAAGCCCCACCTAGCAGGTAAAGACCCAGGTGTCGGGAGAACAGTGTCACAGCAGGATGTCATGTGACCACTTCTTGAACAGCAAGACCTTATCAAACCTGCTGGAACTAACACTGCCCTAAGTGTCCTTTGCTTCATTATTTGTTCCTATACCAACTCGTGATGGATTTTTACAGTGACACTTTTGAAAATTCCATGTAAAGCTAGAGAAGAGAATAGATGCTCTCTTAGAATTTACCAACCTAACTTGAGATTATCTGATCTTTCCCCACCCCTCAGCCCATGAAGAATTGCCACCATGGGTAAGCAGCTGCCTCCAGGAGTCACGATTCACTCCAAAGTGCTGGACTCCCTCCTGGGGTGTATTTTGCTTTGTGATGAAAGATCCCCCTCTGTTCTTTTTATAATAGATGACTATTTCATTTAATTTTCATTTTATTGTGCGGATAGTGTGCATGCATGTTTGTTTATGAGTCTGTGTTTGTGTGGGCACAGGTATATGTGCCAAACTACACATGTAAGTATGGACTACACTTGTAAGTGTATGTGAAAGCTGGAAGTTGACTTTGGATGTTTTCTTTGATTGCTCTCAATTTCATCTATTGGTGATAACATCTCCCAACTGAAGCAAGAAACTGTGGATCTAGCTAGCCAACTTTCCATGAATATTTCACATTCCTGCCTCCCAGGTATTGAGATTACAAGCACTTATAGTACTTGCCTGATTTTTAACATGAGGTCTGGGGATCCAAACTCCCATCCTCATGCTTGCTGAGCTATCTCCCCAGACCCCCAAATCTTTACTTCACCTCGTCTCTGAATTCTTTCTCTGACAGTCCATCACAAGAACCTGGAAACGGAATAGAAAACTCAATTTTCCTCTTCTCTCTCTCTTTCCTCCTCTCGCTCTTCCTCTCCCCCTCTCTCTCCCTGTTCCTCTTTCTCTCTATATATATATTTCTCTCTCAGACACCACAGCCCTCTACCATGTCAATAATTTCATTCATTCACTCATTAAATCACTCAATAAATATTTAAGAAGTGCTTACAATGTGTCAAGTACAGTTCTCAATTCCATGAACAAACCTGACAAAGAATCCCACTTTTAGCTATTATATGGTGTGTCTGTGTGTTGCCTTGGTTGTCTCATGAAGGGAATGACGCAATTAGCAATAAGCATAATTATTGTGGAAATTTCATTCTTTGTCAGAGACAAATAAATTAGTTAAAAATATTTAGCACAAATTCTGAGAGTATTTCTATAAAGAATGAGGGCTTTTACAGAAAAAGAATAAAGTGGTGTTCTTCAGTGCTGGGAAAGGTAAATGGGGAGATACTGGCCAGTTGGCATAAACTTTCCATAATAAGTAAGATCTGGGGGTTCTAATATGTAACATGTTCACCATGGTTAGTGACAATCTGTTTTACTTCATATGTTAATTGAGTTGTTATGCTAATCAACATGCATGTATATCAAGCTATTAGTTCTTAAACTCATGGCTTTGGAGTGCTAGGCAAGTGCACTATCTGTGAGCTAAAGCCTAGCTCCTCTTTGAAGCAATAGCTAAGTTGCTCAGTCTAGCCCTGAACTGGCTATGTATAGCTCAGTCAGGCTTCAAACTCACCATCCTTCTACCTTCTTTGTGAAAGCAGCAAATAGCATGTTCAGCTGGAAATTTGCCAATTATAATTCAATAAATCCAAGTTAAAAGAAAAAAATGTATAGAAGGTGGGGGGGTAGTTGCAGTGTTTAGTAAGACAGAACATGACCCATGAAGAAGACAAATCAAAGTATAGGGAAGCAATGAAAGAGTTAACAAAGTTGGCAAACTGGTTTTTTGTTGTTTTTGTTTTTGTTTTTGTTTTGTTTGACTTGAGGGAAAAAATCTTTAGATGAGAGAGTTAAGCAAATATTTTCATGACCAGTGAGGTATGCCTATAATAAAGAGACCCAGAATGGAGACAAATATGATAGAGATAAGGTATAAAAAAATAAAAGGAAGTGTCACCATATGGCATTTTTTAAGGCATAAGAATAATGTGAGATCTTGCTCTTTTGGACTAGCTCCAAAATCCCGGAGTCTTATGATCTTGACTATAGCATCCTGCTAGATGTAGGTTGAGGCAAACAGGCTTAGCAGATATAGTAGATATGTGCAACTCAGGACTGGCTTCTCATCAAATCAAAAGATCATTAGTAACAGTTCAATTAACTACCTTTGGTAGTAATTCTAAACCAATTGCTTTCTGAGGCTGTAAGAACTCAGTCTGGGTGCTGGAGAGAGGGCTTCTCTGTGTAGTGTATTTTGCTATTTCAAGGCCTTTAGTTCAGTTCCTAGCTCCTTTGCCAGGCTTCTCACATCTGCCCACAACCCATCTCCTTGGGTCTGATATGTCTGGCCTGTGCAGGGACCTGTACTGACATGTACGCACCCCTCCACAAACAAATATTAATAATTAAAAAATAAAAATAAATCTTTAAAAAAAGGAACTCAAGCTGATTTTAGTTTAACAGTTTCTTCTGTTACTCCGTGAAAGCTTAAGAGATACTTAATGCACACTCATAAGTGATTATCATATTGCTCCAAAAATATGTTTCCTCTTTGTAAATTTGATGTGGATTAATATTCCTCACTAATTCCATACAAAATAATATCTGAGTCAGATTTCATTGGCTTGTTATGTGTTGGGATTTTTTTCTTTACTTTGTTAATAAAAATGTAAGTTAGATACACTAAGAAGACTTAAGAGCCGTTGGTAACAATGAATTATATCCTTCTCTTCAGAAGCCAGAAGAAACTAAGCAAGCGTCCTTGTAGATGTATAGAAAAGGCACACTGAGTCATCCCAATATCCTTTATTCCAGAATGTTCTGTTCTGTGGCTGACTGCTGAGAGCAAGGCATAGTGACTGTCACTTCAAGCCATTCTTCTGCAGAAGAACCCATTTGAAGCATGACTGCTGAAGGAGAAAGTCACAGCCGAGAGTGACAGCTCTCTCTGCTCCATTATGTCCCTTTTGAAGCCTGCACAGCTCAGAGATGACAGAATCTAAGGCGGTTCAGGAGATGCCAATGCCTTTCCCTTGTGGATCATTTTCATGTTCCAAATATCATTACATAAACAGAGTGATATAGATAATAGAGAAATTGGACTTTAAAACAGAATTCTGAACTTTTCCCAGCAAATGATCAACCATCCTATATCTTAGTGACTAAAGTTTCTAATGTTGCATTTTATAAGCTATGAAATAACTATTTTAAACTCCAGTTAAATTTTATATTTGAGCACTGGTCACTGGTTTATACTCTTTTATACAAATTACAGTTATTAATGAGACTCCCATGCTTTCCTATGCACTTGGGCTTTCACTGCATATTTAAATATTAACACAACTGATTAAGATGCAGAAACATGAGTGGCGAAGCTAATGAAAATACTTGGCTCTTGTCTTGTCTTGTTTCTGTATTATATCATCAAAATTCCAATTAGCAACCTGAGACTACAGCATGACTTCCTATGTGTATTTTAGTTTACTTACAGAACCTTTGGTGTAAGAGGTTTGGGGAAATGATTACTTTTAGCATTAAATGGAAACAGATTTGGTTAAGTAATAATTTCTGGTGAATTTGTAAAGGGCATGCTGCCTACACTAACTCAAATTTTACTCCCCTACTCTCAATTTAGGCATTTACAATTAATCAAAAAATTGATGTTCTTTTTTGTTTCAGTCTTGTATCTGCTGGTTCACTTGATTGCTTCATCATGCTAATGAGCTCAAGGTCAAAAGTTTTTGTCCCTGTATGAGCCAGCTGTGCCTGAAGGAAATTTGGTTCTGAAGTTTCAAAACACAGGCCAATTTTCAGTCAAATACTTGCATTATAAGGTAGTGTAAATACATCACCTTGGAGTATCACAAAAACTCAGATTAATCTGCATTCACAGTAATATTGCAGTAGCAGGAGTGGGACATTGACTGCTGTATTTACATTTTCCCCTCAGTGAGACTGCAGATTGCTGAGGTTCAAGTCCTATGTATGCTCGGCTGGATAAAGCCAATTAATGAATCAGCACAGGGCAGGAAGCAAGGATGGAGCATAGGAGGATATAGTGTTTGCTTCTGAGACTAGTGAGGGAGAATGAAAGCAGAGAAGATGCATGTGCAAATGCAGTCCCAATTCTTCCAGCTAAAGAAAGTTAATTTCTCACATTCCTACAAGGACCAACTCATCCTTCTCTTTCTTAGCCAAGATTCTTACAGAACATTTCCTTTCCTCTCTGTTTTACTGACTTGTTTCAACCTTCTCAAATCTGTTTTTTGCTTCAACAATTCCAAAGTTCACACTAACAATGGGTTTTCACATTTAGATTATCCTCATAGTACCTAAACACTCAACAGCATTTAGCCCTGTTAATTGCTCCTTCCTCTTTGCATTAACTTTTATCAACTCCCTTGTTCATTCCCACACATTTCTGAACATATCTCAAACTTTTTCAATGATCAGCTGTCAATCATCAGTTGTTAATTGTTGAACTTTCTCAGTATTTTGTCCTGGGTTCTTCTTTTCATGTATTCTCCTACTGGATAATCTTAAACAGAAACCTCCATTAATATTTATCTAAACTATATCCTGATTGTGGTGGTTTGAATAGGTATGGCCCTTATAGACTCATGTGTTTAAATGCTTGGCCTATAGGAGTAGCACTATTAGGAGGTATGGCCTTGTCAGAGTAGGTGTGGCCTTGTTGGAGGACATTTGTAAATGTAGGGATAGGATATGAGGTCTCATTTATGCTCAAGTTATGCTCAGGATGGGTCAGTTTCCTTCCTCTTGCCTGTGGATCAAGATGTAGACCTCTCAGCTACCTCTCCACCACCATGTCTGCCTGACTGCTACCTTGCTTCCCATCATGATAATAATGGGCTAAACCTCTGAAAGTAAGCCAGCCCCAGTTAAATGTTTTCATTTATAAGAGTTGCCATGGACAAGGTGTCTCTTCACAGCAGTAGAAACCTAAGGCAGAAGTTAGTATCAGGCACTGGTGTAGCTTTATGTTTTCCAGCATCATAGATGAATTTCTGAAACAGTCTTATTAAATAAGAAACACAGGGCCAAATACAGGGGTAAAAGCTGTAGAAATCAGAGTGATAGCAATCAAGTCACCTTAGCTCACCACATCACCATAGCTTCCCAAGAGAACCAGTTTCTTCCTATCTAACCTGCACCTTTATTCCCTTGCTTTTCTGCCTTCTCATTGGCTCTTAACCCAGTCACCTCACTTCCTCATCACTGCCTGTCTATACAGACCTCCAGGTGTCTATGGTTGGTACTGGGATGAAAGGGATATTACCACGCTTGGCTGTGTCCTTGAACAGAGAGAGAGACTCTGCCTGCCATGTGATCAGATTAAGGGCATGTGACACCACCGCCTGACTTCTATTTATGGCTGGCTATGTCCTCTGATCTCCAGGCAAACTTTATTTATTAACATACAAATAAAATATCACCACATAGCCTGGTCTGCAGCTACTCAGACCCAAGTAAACACACAGAGGCTTATATTAATTAAAACTGCTCAGCCATTAGTTCAGGCCTACCACTGACTAGCTCTTATGTTTAAACTCAGCCTATTTTTGTTGATATATATTGCCACGTGTTCCATGGCTTTATCGGTGTGCCATTACAATTAGCATTTTATTAAACCAGTGTACAACAGCATTATCCCACAGCAGACTGGGGTATTGCTGTGATAGATCTGACCATGTTTTTGCTTGGAGGAATTGGACTTTGGGTTGAGAAAGCAATGAAATACTTTAAGTGCTGCTTAATGGGTCACCCTAGAAGGAATATGGGAGACAGTGGTGCTGAAGGTGTTTTGAACTTTAGGGGCCTGCTTTAAGACCTTCAGTGGAGAATTTTAGTATATTGCCTAAAGATAATTCTTGTGATATTTTGGTGAAGAATGTGGCTGCTTTCCCCCTTTATCCAAATATTTTGCCTGAGGCTAAAGTAAAGGAATTTAGATTAATTCCATTGGCAGAGGAAATCTCAAAATAGCCTAGTACAGACTCTGCTGTATTAGTGTTAACTCTAATGAAGATTTATAATGAAAAGGAGCAAGCTGAGAAAGTAAAAATACAAAATATACAATTTGAGGAGAAGAGGGGCAGCAGAAAGTGGAATGGAACAAGATCCTGTGTTTAAAAAGATAAACAGATGAGGAAATGTAATAAAGGGAGTAGTGATCTCAGGGAAAGATCCTACCCAAATAACTTTCCAGCTTGTGAAAAGAGATTAAAGAAAAGCTTAGGTCCAGGCATGGTGGTGCATACATTTAATCCCAGTACTCAGAAAGCAGAGGCTGGCAGATTTTTGAGTTTGAGGCCAGCCTGGTCTACAGATTGAGTTTGAGGACAGTCAAGCCTAGACAGTGAAGGAAAGTATCAAAACTAGAAAGCTGATAAAGATACAATTGAACAAATGGGACATATTCCAGCCCCAGCAAGCAACAGAAACTTGGCAGCTTCAGCCATATGGTTCCAACTTTAGAGTCAAGGACAGAAAACAGGGTTATGGAATCTCCCTCTATGACTAAGGACATCTACTTGGGCCAGACATGTATCAGGGGTGTCCCTGAATGGAGGCCTAGAGAGACTATTGTGTGAAGTTGTGCAGGTAAAGCCTGTATTGCCTTGGAGACCCCAAGATTTTAGAGATGCCAAAGCTATGTGATATGTGCCAAGAAAATTGCTAGAAGGGGTGGAATCAGCCAAAGACAACGAAGTATGTTTCAGTGAGCAAAGCTGAAAGGAGTGGGAGATCTGAAGAATGCTTCAACATCAGACATGGAGATGCTGAATTTGGAGTTTTCCCTGCTGGTTTTTGGTCTTGCTTTGTTCCAGTATTTCCCCACTGTTAACTTTTTCCTCCATTTTGGAACAGTAATATATTCCTGTGCCATTATATGTTGGAAGTATGTGATCTCCTTTGTTTTTTAATTTTGATTTTATAAGGGATTACAGTAAAAAGATTTCATGAATCTCAGAAGAGACTTTGAACTTTGGACTTTTAAACATTGTTGGGACTGTGATAGACTTTTAAGGTTAGACTAAATACATTTTACTTCATGTTACAGCCATAAATAGAAACTACATCGAACACAAAAGAAAATAGATTGACTTCAAAGAGCTTTGGACCCATATGAGAGTAGTCAACAGACACGGTAAGTAAATAATAGATCTGTGTGTGCACATGCATATAGCTTGGTAAATAAAACATATAGTGTGCTAATGTGAGAAAATAAAGCAGAGGATGAGGAAAGGTGACATACATGTAGAGCAGAAAACTAGACTTTTCAGATAGAGTGGACATTTAAAAAAATCTGTTTGTGGCTGGGTAAACTACTTTATCTATTTTAGACATAACTGTCATTCCCCCCACCCCAGAAATCTTGAAGTTGTGCATGTTTCAAAATTCTTTGAATAGGGAATATTTTATAATGAAATTGTTTTTATTTCATGATGCAGGAAAGGAAGCTAGGCATCAGCTATCTAGGTTATAAGAAGAATTTCTGGCAAAAAGTGTTATTTCATGGTAACATTTGTTTTTATATACATTTCAGGGAAGTCTAGTTTTCAATAAGTTCCCCCAAATTATTCACAAACTTGGCATTTCTATTGTATTCTTACTATTTTCCCCTCACATCACTGCCTTTCTCCACTATGTAAATTTATTCAACTCTAGTTTTAGACGTTAGAAATTGTTTAGCAGTGTACGGGAAACACAGACTTCCTTGTTTTCATTAAATAAGGAATGTTGAAGCTGTCTGCTTCTTGTGAGTTTACAATTTGCATAAGAAGGAACAGTGGCCTGTTCCTGGAAATGTTTCAATCAGCCAGGATCAACACTGAAAAAAGAATGCTGTTCTATCAAGCCCTTCATTTTCATGGAAATGAACGTGAACTCTGGAAACAAGAACAGAATTGCTTTCCAACTCTAATGGGTTCACAAGTCATGCCAGCCAGTTCTGGTGGCACAAAACTCAACTTAGATTATACACACATACACACACACATGCACACACGCACTCACGCATGCATGCTGCACATGCACACACACGTGTGCGCTCACACTGCAGTCTAAGAAGGTCTTTGCCAAAGTTCTTGTAAACAAACCACCATTTAAACAGATTGTTTCTAATACTGGAAATGGGCTTGCAGAATAGCTAATAGATCTTATCAGATCACTATAACCCAGGTAGTAAAGAATCTACTTTATTATGTTGTTTTCATTACTCTGTCTGTTAAATAACCTGTGAAGTGGGAATATCTTCAAGGTTTTTGGCTCAAATGGAACAATTATCCTTGACATTGCAGAATAAAGCTTTAACACTATAATGAATTACCAGTGAGTTCTGCTTCACAGACAGGACACTATTTTGAAAACAAAAATCTCTAACAAGGAAAGCAAAGTTGTAAGATATCAGAAAGTAATTAGTATAATGCACTTGTAAATTTATATTTTCAAAACTAATTTGAAAAAAAATGACATCTGGAGTGACAGCTGAGGATGAAATGTAGGGCCCTTGTTTCCTGTGAGTGTTCTTCAGTGCATAAGAGAAATAAAAAGTGGTTTGTATTAACACTAAGATGCAGAATATTTTGAATGAAATAATTGACAACTTAAAATGATGAGAGTTATCTTTTAATTTAAATTGTAAAAATATCCTATTCTCAGGTTAAAATACAATGGGTTGTAGAATCTATATCAAGATTTGTAGAAGCAGCAACCACACAGTTGAGCTTTAGGAGAGGCAGGAAACAATGTGAGGCAAACAACAACTTAAACAAGGAATTACTGGGCTGTGAAGGAATATAAATTTTAAGTTGATTTCAAATAAGGAGGGCATACATGCCAAGAGAACACTAAGACACTAAAGTGGTTTGCTGAATGTTTCCCATGTGAAAGAGCTGTAATATCATTTCTTCTTCCTGGAAATATGCATTTTTATCACATGTAAAAGATAAAAATCTCTCTTTAAGCATATACCAACTCAGAATGTTCTTACTTGTGATTCACAAAGACAGTATGAAAATTTAAATAAACAAAGTCAAACTGTCACAAATTCTTTACATTGGGTTTACAACACATCTATATTGAATCCAATATGTAAGTGCTTTTATTCTGAAATGAGAGCCATTTGGAAAATAGGATTTGTTGACCAATAGGCTGACTTACATACTTATAGGACAGGGTGTTAGTCACAACACAGGGATTCTGAGCCAAAAACATACCTCATGGTTTATATTCTAAGAAACAGGGTTTTTTTTTTTTTTTTTTTAAATTTCAAATTTCACTACACAAATTTTTAAAACTTCATTGCACTTCCCCCAAAAATCACTGGTTTGGAAAACAAATACTAACAGAAAACAAGAACTGTTAACCTTGCAAAAAGGAAAATTAACCTGCCTGCATGATATACTGGTGTAACAGGAACACAAATGTTTTAGAAGTATTCATCTACTCTCTGCTTGGATTTGAGGCCCACTCCACAAGATGCAGCCCATGCCTGACACTGCTCAGGTGGCCAAGAACCTGAGTTTAGACAGGACATAGGTGTAGGGGAAAACCAAATATTATTGTTCTGTTAAAGGAGCATGACAATAAAATGAATTTTAACAACATTCTTCTATACCTACAGATCATTGCCATACCCACCCATCATCAGAGAAGCTTTTTACAGAAGATGGGAGCTAATGCAGAGACCCACAACTGGCCTGTGAGTGAGATACTTTGGAATACTATGTCCTAAATGCCCTAAATGTGATGCCTTAATCAAACCCCTCCTCTGTGGTTCAGGGTGCTATGGAGAAGAGGAGGCAGAAAGACTGAGTGAGAGTCAGAGGAAATGGATGACACCAAGGAAAGAGTATCTTCCCAACACAACAGGACTGATGCACATAGGAACTCAGCGACTGTGGCAGCATGTACCACTTGCACAAGTTCAAGTCAGATACAGTGCCAGTACAGAGAGAGAGAGAGAGAGAGAGAGAGAGAGAGAGAGAGAGAGAGAAACACTATCTCCCATCCCTAAGCAGAGGCTAGCTCCAATTAACACCCGCTTACAAAGTAAGAATTTGTTATCTTCAATGGAGTTTCACTGGATATGTTAACCACACTCAAGGGCAGGCCCCATACCCAGCAGTAGATGGCCAACAAAAAATGAACTCAATGGCATTTTTTGTAGACATTTTTTCTCATATTGTTTTGTGTGGGCTTTTTTTTTCTTTGTTTTATTTTTCATTCTGGGGTTTTGTTTGCTTGCTTTCTAAAGAAAGAGAGAAAGAAAAGGTTGGATTTGTGTGGTTAGGGAGGTGGGAAGGATCTAGGAGAAGATGGGGAGGGGAAATCATGGTCAGAATATATGGTATGTAAAAAACTATTTTCAATAAAAATATACATAAAGGAAAACAAAACAAGTTTATTGCCAGAATATTGATTGGTTCTATTCATATAATGAACATAAAAGAGTGAATTAATATAACTATTTTTTCCACATCACATAAACTCACCCCCAGCCAACCTTTGTCATTTTTATTATAGTAGCTTCTGTTCCACTACTCTGTGCTGAGTGGATGTTTAAAAACTCCCCCTGAAAGTGCATGAGATCACCAGCCTGCTGGGAGCATCTCTGTTTCTCCACTGTCCCAGAGCTGCTGCCCCTGGAGGAGGCCTCACCTGCTCTTCAGAAAAGTTTCACTGAATTCCGCTCTTGGTTACTTTCCCTTATGGAGAGCGAGTTACAGAAATATCTCAATTCCTCTAACTTCTTCTATGTTCACAGTCCATGTCTGAAAATCAGACTTCAGTATAGCCTGTGGTAATTCAGAACACTGTTGGGATGAAAGGAGTGCATAATCTTAACCTTGGGAAAACTTTAAGGAATCCAAAGCTTCTTTGTAAGACCATCATCATGTCTTAGCCTAACCAGGAAAATCTTTCTCTGCCTCCATCCCTCGAGCTCATGATTATTTGGAGAGTTCAAGCCCTGGCTTCACCCTGACTCTCTCTTTGAAAGGGCCCTTTGTTTTGTGTTTGTTGCTGTTGTTTTTCACTGTTGTGCTTTATTTAAGCAAGACAGGGACAAAATAGTAACAGGCAAAATCCTAATGTGCAAATCACATCCATTTTCATGCTAGAGACATGAAGATAATTGGGTAGATGAGCTAATATTGACTTAAATTAATTACTGGAGGTACAATCCCAGTGCAGTACTACAGGACAGAGAAGCAGCATTAATTCCAGATGGAGAGGTGTGAGGCTATGGCCTTGGATGGCATGACCTTTACACCATGAGCCGATGATTAACTTGTGATTCTGACCTGTGACTCTGGGGAGCGGTCTTATGCGTAGGTTAGATATACAGTCTATCAAGAGCAGACGATTTTGTGTGGAAGTTATTAAATTAATCCAATCAGGAGGTAATAGAGCCTTAATTTCCTATGAACAATACTGGATCAATTATGCTGGTGGTGCCTGTGAAATCAACCTGGTTTCTCCCATGTTTGACTGTTCTCAGACTGAAAGCTTTTTACTTGTGTCATGATTTTCAGGGATTTTTATATTATTCTCATCATAATTTTTTTCTTTTTATATCTCCAAGCCACATAAATGTACCACCTCAGCCACTTTTTAGTTTGGGCTAGCATTTTCCTCAATTAAACCTTTCTCATTATTAGAAAATCCCCTGAAAACCTCCCCACACCCCTGTATCCTCACTCTACCCCATAGAAACAGCACACATACTTTAGCACATGCTTCCCTTGGGAATTATGGACACTGACCCCTTTGGAAACTTGAATTTATTTCCACGTGGTACTGCAGTTCTTTCCTGTCAGCAGAGTAAGCTGTACAGCTACAGTCACTCTTTTGTTGCTAGTGCTCTCTTCCTATAGGCTTTGCCCCACAACTCTCCCCATTACAGTAAGAGACAGCTGTCCTGAGTTGAGAAAAAAA